TCTTCCAATTATACAACCACACGTATAGTCATCAATCCAGCCTCCCTCAGTATATATTCAGCATATATATTAAATAAAAAAAGAAAGTATGCAGATGTGTTTCATTCCATTACCAACCAGGAATTGGTTTTATCATGTTTCACCCAGATTTCTTATAAAGATTCCTATTTCCTTAGGACATTCTACAATTTGAATAGTCAACATAACTGAATGCCTTTCTATAATCAATTATACATACAAACATCTTTTTGGTATTATTTGGCTTTCTCAAGTATCTACTGGGTATCAACAATAACGTGTCATAATTAAAGATAAGACAGAGTCAGATCACTATGAAATTTGGGGAACTTTTTATGATTGGCTGAAAAGAGAATACGGTTAAAAGATAGTTAACATCAATTTAGATGGAAGAAGAAGGAGCAGATAAGGAGGGAGACCCAGGCGACACAGTATTGAATAACTGAAGGTTGTATAAATGTTTATAGAAGTATATACCGAGAAGGTTAGATAAATAGAAGTATTAATCTTATTGTATATAATACAGATAGGGAAATTTGGAGAGAGGAGTTGCTCGGACATTACCCCTGAATTGTATCTGAAGAGGGATGAGAGGGAAGAAAGGAGACGAGAGAGAAAAGAGTAAAGGAGGGAGAAGGAAGTAGGAAGGTTGGAGGAAGAGAAAAGGGGAGGAGAGTGGTGAAGGAGGGGAGAGGAAGAAGAGGGAAGTAGGGAAGAGACGAAAGGGAGAAAGAGGGTAAAGAAGAAGGAGTGTGGATACGGTGAAAGGGAAAATGGGCGAGCAACACCAAAGTTATGTGTATGTATTTATTTCATTTTGTTAAAAGTATCTGTATGTGAGTGTGGAGGGAATGTATGTTAATATCTGATAAGTATTACGGTATATGTATGGGGGAGAATTTGGAAAAATAAAAAATTATTAAAAACAAACAAACAATAAAGTGTCGTGTTTTCTGGCCTTTTGTAAAGCTAGTTTGAACTTCAGAAATGTCCCTTATACTGTATGGCTTTAATCTATGTTGGATGACCCTAAGCATTATTTTGCTAACATATGAAATGTACAATACTTTGTGTATCCCAGTAAGCCTCTTTTCTCTGCTATGGTTAGCTGTAATGGTATGTGGAAATAGCTATGAGAGACAGGGAGAAGAGCCACCATCAAAGTTGGATAAGAGGCAGTGTAGCCTACAAAAGGAATGTAGTTATGACAAACATCTTAGAAGGAATCCTCCCTAATTTCTAAGCCTGTAAATGTGATGGGGGGAATGTACTTTTGTGAGATTTGTTAATGTTACCCTACAATAAAGTATAATTGAATATACTTCCTGTTTGGACTATCTTGCAAGGCTAACATATCCAAAATTACCTCTTTCAATCTATTGAGATTATATACTTTTGACAATACTTAGTCCTAAATCCTACTGCTACTGTTCCTTTGATCTTCAAAGATTAAATATTGTAAACAAACAAGCAAGCATTAAACTGGAGCCATGACAAACTCTAAATCAATAAGACCACATGTGAAACCTCTTGAATTTCTTCATCTATCATCATCAAGTGAAGGAGGAAAAAAACCGTATCTCTTAATATTTTGCTTCTTCAGCAGAATTTTGAGTGAAGTATTTGAACCATATAAAAGAGTTTTAGCAAAATATTCCAACCCAGAGTCAACGTATCCCAAAGAGATCATCTTGACAGGTACATCACATATTATATCCAATTCTTACAGATGATCTTTATAAGCATAACCACAATTGATTTATTTTTCTTTTTTGCTTTCTAGCTTAAAAACAACATCAATCCATTCAGCAACATCAAATGGTATAGTTTTGACATTTGGCCTGGTATGGTAAAGCCATTTAATATGGTCATCTATCTGAAAATATCACCATTGCATCATTAGATAATTAACAATATATTTCTGATGTACCTAAGCATTATATAATAGAATGTTTACAAATTAATTAAATCATGTAGGTAAATATGAAATATTTGGTACAGGGCAGCAGAAAAATCAATATCTTTTGCTAAATGAGCATTAATGGAGTTTATTCATCAAGAACTAGAGAAAATCATTTCTGAACAAAAAATCAATATAAATTTTGCAAACATACAGATACTTAAAGAATAACTTTAGAATCTATCATTCATATGTCTTATATTCTCTATTTCCTTGGCCCTGCTCACAATTCCCTTATATTTGCTCTCCAGACAGAATAAAGATGAAAGAAGGCTATGAAATTATTAAGATTCCTTGTTATTTCAAATGAATATATCTAGGGAAAAAAAACATTTCTGTGAAAACATTTTTACTCTTTTTCTCTTGTAAATCTATAGACCATTAATATTAGAGTTTAAATGGTTCACAGTTCAGTACTGTCACAAACATTCACAAATAACATATAAGAAAAGAAAAAAAAATGATCTTCTGTGCTCCTTCTGTTCAGTCTTAAAGTTCTATGTGTTACTAGTTTCAGAGGTATTTCCTTACCTAAACAGAGAAACAGAATGATGATGGGTGGGCAAAAAACAGTGGGAGTGGGAATGACTTCCAATGTCTTCCCAACTTCCCCATTGAGTCTCCTGGTGGGAAGCTAGTAGTGAGCATCAGAAATCCTTCCTTCCTTCCCTCCTTCCTTCCTTTCCTCTCTCCCTATCTCTTCCCCATCCTTCTTTCTTGTCTTCCCTCTCCACCTTTTCCTTCCTTCCTTCCTTCCTTCCTTCCTTCCTTCCTTCCTTCCTTCCTTCCTTCCTTCCTTCCTTCCTTCCTTCATTCTTCCCTTACTTAGTCTCTTCCCTTCCTCGCTTGACTATTTGATGGCTTCTCCATTTATTTTGTTAGAAGCTTGCAGGGAAAAAGTCAGTGGGGAAACTAACTGGAAATTGCAGGTCCAAGGTCAGCAGGCAAGTAAGTGTCTTCTGCCAATTGGGGGAGGAATAAAAGGGTATGTAGGGTTGTGAGTCAGGAATGGTATTTGGGGTTACACAAAATGTGTTGCATGGGTTGGGAAGAGTGTTTGAGCCAGAGATGCCACATACAGTAGGTCAGTGAGGGCATGAGATTGGACATCATAATTCAGGAAAGTTAGCCGGGGTGCATGAGACTTCTGTATAGGTTGGGTAAGGTATGCAGGAGATGGCACAAGTCAAGAAGAATGAATGGGTGTTGCAAGGGTTTGTGACAAGTGCTACACCAATAGGGGATGGCATCAGAGGCAGCATGTATCAAGAAACATGTGAGGGTGTGAGAGGTGCTTCCTGGGTTGTAGAAAGCACATGGGAGGTGGCACAAATTGAGAAAGGGGGGGGGATTGGGCCAGGCTGGGAAAATGTGTGGAGGACAATGGCATAGGCCAGGAAGGGTGCAAGGGAGTTCCTTCCTCCCTGTTCCTTTGTCTCTTCTTTCACCTTTCCTTTTCATTTACAGTAAGCAGGAATATGGCTGCTGCTGGGTGAGTGAGAGAGTGAGTGAGTGAGTGAGTGAGTGAGTGAGTGAGTGAGTGAGTGATTGTCAGACTAGCTGAGAAAGTGTCACAGAACATTTAAAATGAAGTTTACATGATCACAGCAGTATCCACTAGTACTGAAGCAGCACAAATTTCCCAAATTTCGTTCTCTCTGGAGTTATGGGTCCTGGCTTCTGGACATATTCTGTTAATTAGCTCATTTGGTTCAGTTAGCATATCTTGGTTCAAAAATTGTCCTCTAATGCACTGTTCACTCAGTTAAGAGTCATTATAGCAAGAATTTTAGGACTATATAGATGCACAGGCCCATAAAAAGTGGGAATTTGGAGAATTAATATTTCTATTTATTTCTGCTAGATGCTTGAGGGGAAAATCACCCATAATGTGCTTCATAATCTTAATTGCTTCTATTAGCTCAGTCACCCAATATGAATCTTTACTGCTTAACTATATTGTTAATAGATAAAAAAACTATAGAAGGAATTAGATAGAACACTTTATGGAAAATTAACAGATAAATGACCTTATACCTTTTTCCTCTAACAACGTTTTATGACTATTTCTCAGAATGTGCTATCTTAGGCACAACCTGAATATGTAAGTATATTGCTTCCTCTAATAAAATCATTAATATCTTTGTGCCAAAGAATACTTTGTATGAGACAAATACATTGTAAACTATATTATAGTGTCAATACTTCTGGGATAACCTAATTCACATTAGGAAGTAAGTGACTTCCAAAAATAGAGCAACCAACGAGACTGTAGGTTTCTTCTTCTTCACACTGTGATGATACATTCTAATAGCATAAATCCTAATTGAGAAATTATGTAGAGATAGGATCTGCATAATTCAAAGGAAGACATAACCTGTTGTAGTTGCAGCAGGTAACCAGGTTGCCTTCTTGGGAATATTTAAAGCCAGGCTCATAACTATCTAGCCTTTTAGAACAAACTCTATTGGGTTGCAAAATGATAATACAAAAAGCTGTCTGTGCCTTGCCCCTTGCATTAAAAGCATTTTTTTCATCTTTGCCGTAAGCTAAACAGTCACTGCTACTGTTGCTCCATGTGAAACTATGAGCATATGTTTTTTCTCTTTCTGTTTGATGTTGCATTGAAAATGTACCCAAGAGAATTTGTTATTGTCTTATGAAACCTGACTTAGTTGGGTGCCACAAACCTGGATTTTGACATCAAAACAAACAACTATAGTCCAGTTAGTTTTACTTCTTTTGTGCAAAGGGACAGGAATGAAACAAGAGTAAATGAGCCTCACAATATCAGCAGGCTACTTGTCCACAGGAAAGAAAAATAAGTCAGGTATATTGATTTATCGTGCCTGAATAATAATACCTAATGAAAAAGTCTGAAAGTCCAAGCCCTGAAGAGGGATATATGGGAATAAGATAACAGTTGTTGCTAGCAGTATGTGTAATGCTAAACTACTGTTTGGTATTGCATTTGAAATGGTGTTTGGGTAAGTGTCCAAGGAAAAAGGAGAAGGGCATGTACCTTTTGGTCAATGCTGTATGCTAGAATCCAGTCTTCTTGCTTAGGATGGAATAGCAGACTCTGGATATAGAAGCTGAGTCGATATTTTTGATAGGTGGCTCCTTCATCGTTACTGATGAGTATGCTACTTTCAATTTCAGGATCACTTAAGAGCATTATCTATAAAAAAAGTAGGAAAAGTTAAAGAAAGTCTAATAATTTGATAACAATTGAAAATACTATCATGCATATATAACACACATTTATGTAAGATTTTCACACCAGGAATTCTGATACCAACTCACAATCACATATTAAATGCTAAGCAGGATTTGGCAGTGCATCACCTGCAGGTGCCTAATGAGACATTCCAATCTTCAAATATCACTAAAATCTCATGAGAATTTATTTAAAAGTCTCAAAATGTCAGAAATTCTCATGTGAGAAAGCTGAAATCTCACAACATCTCTTTAAAAGATCATGAAATTTTGATGCTGTCATGATGGCATAGACACTTGCTATAATGTACAAAAGGTTGCCAGGCAGAATCATATATCAACTTCTTTTGAACAGATGAGTGTTATTAAAAGAAAGCCAGATGGCATCATTAATTTATTTTTCAAATTTGTAGCCACACACGCTCAGCAAAGCCAAACTACTGACTGAGAAAACTAAGACCAACACAATCATTTTTCATTTAGGATATAGGAACCCCCCAAGCTAAGAGATAACCATACATGATTCAGGTGTACAGGTCTGACCAACATAAACAGATGAATTTCTAATTCTGTTTAAAAACAAATCTTTTTGAATTTAGAGATTTTACTCACATGCATAACTCTGTAGAGCAAAGAGAATACAGAGCAGCATAAATAATTTGCCATTATTCTATAAATTGTACAAATTAAATGAATACTTAAAATGTAGCACTTTACATATGGAAGTGTAGAAGAATTACGGTAAAATGCAATTATAAAAAGAGTGCACATATATCAGCCATTTGTCCCAATGAAATGACCAGTCTAGGTGCTAATGAAATGACCTGTCTCAGAAGAAAAAATATGTAGCATATGAACTATTAAATATACATATTTGAGGTAGTGGAGTCCAGGGTATGCTAAAGAAGTTAAGATAAATTAGGAGGAGAAGGAGGAGGGGGAGGGGGAGGGGAGGGGGAGGAGGAGGAGGAAGAGGAGGAGGAGGAGGAGGAGATGTTGTGACAATGTAATTAAAGCTGCATCCATTACTGATGTGTGACCCTGTCTTGACTTTTTTTTAACTATACACTGCAAACATGCCTAGATTAAGGGTTAGCATTTGAAGACACTTGTTTTGCGTTTTAATTATGACTTATCTAATAGCTCTTATAAAGATAGCTTATCTAAGAACTTATCTTTGCCTTGCTAGCTTTCAAATTCAAATAGTCTGGGTAAAGCTTGATAGCAATAATGTTAAGCCAAAATCATACATGAACAATAACTAATCCTAATGCCTACTATGAATGTTTTGTGTCAAACTTATTTAACTTGGTAGTTTCAAAACCTACAGTGATGCTTTTTGGTTTATGTAAAATAAATTCTCCAGAAATCAGCATAGTAAATTGCATCATCCTGGACTATCCAATAAGAATTTTTAAAATGATTCATATATTAACAATAGTTACACACTATGTAATTCATAGTCAAAAGATACTGGGTTTAGTGAAAAATCAGAAAAAAAACATTTGTTAAACTGAAGCTTATCTAGTACCTAAACAAAAAATTGAAAATATATTAGATTTTGTCATTCTCACAAGAATTGTCTTTCAAATCTACTACTATGAAATCTGGGGAACTTTTTATGATTGGCTGAAAAGAGAATATAGTTAAACATCAATTTAGATGGAAGAAGAAGGAGCAGATAAGGAGGGAGACCCAGGCAACACAGTATTGAATAACTGGAGATTGTATAAATATTTATAGAAGTATATACCGAGAAGGTTAGATAAATAGAAGTATTAATGTAAGAGAAAAATAATCTTATTGTATATAATACAGATAGGGAAATTTGGAGAGAGGAGTTGCTCGGACATTACCCCTGAATTGTATCTGAAGAGGGATGAGAGGGAAGAAAGGAGAGGAGAGAGAAAAGAGTAAAGGAGGGGAAAAGGAAGTAGGAAGGTTGGAGGAGAAGAGGAGAAGAGGAAAGAGAAGAGGAGAGAAAGAAGAGGGAAGTAGGGAAGAGAAGAAAGGGAGAAAGAAGGTAGAGAATAAGGAATGTGGATACAGTGAAAGGATAAATGGGCGAGCAGCACCAAAAGTCATGTGTATGTATTTATTTCATTTTATTAAAAGTATCTTATATATGAATGTAAAAAGAATGTATGTTAACATCTGATAAATATCACGGTATATGTATGGGGGAGAGTTTGGAAAAATAAAAAATTATTAAAAAAAAGAATTGTCTTTCAAATCTTAACTTGTCCAAATAGGAACTTGGAGATTTAGAGGCAAGAGCACCAAATAACATGGGGATTGCCAATTTCACAAGATATGGGCTACTTTTTTGAGGGATGAAAGGAGGAATTATGTCATAGACACAAATTGTTGTGGTTTGAATGAATAGTGAAAAAGCAATAATTTTATTCTTGAAATACAGCCCCAAAATATCACAAAAGGCATTTGAATCCAAAATACAAAACACAGACAAGTCTATATTCTGTGAAAATAGATGCAAAATGGATTTGATAAGCAAATCAAAATTCATCATACCTATGCAAAACTGAAGAATGTAAAGCTACAATATATGTTAATCAAACAGATGTTTGTAATACATCTATTACAAACAATTAAAATATAACCTTAAACCTTAATGACTTTCAATGTACAAATCAAACTAACATTAATAGATACATGTTTTTCAAAGAACACTAAATTAGCAAAGTTCATAAAAAATCTATGTATAAAACTATGATTGCAGAAATAACTTTACCAAGAGGAAGCAAATAATAAATATTGAATTGTGAAAAAAATTCATATTTCCTTTGCTCTTCACTGGGATAGACATTGCAAAAAGATCTGGGTATAAAGTAGTAATTTTTTAAAAAAGGTTGTTTACATAGTCACAGACTTAAAATGGAGAGAATGAAGAGTTAGAGATTCAATGTATTAAACTTTGCTAAACATCATGAATGTTTCAACTTATACCTTGGACTATTGAGCTCAACACATAATTGATTATTCCTTCCTTGCTGAAAATCTAATTTTATGGGCCCCAATATCAAAAAAAAAAAAAATCAATAGAAAAAAATAAGAAGAAGAGAGACAAGAAAATTTGGGTAATATCAGGATGCGGAAAACTTTTGGTGCATGAAATAGTGTCATCTTGTTTTGGAAAGCTACCTGAAGGAAAGCTACCTGATATCAATCTAAGCTTCAGGTGGTCCATGCACACATACAGATATGTGCACTTATACAATAGTGGCCAAAATTGTGGAAACCTTTTGGGAAAAGTGTACAGTAGAAATGCCATCTTTGGTTAAGTTTCCACCAATTTTTCTTCTAATTTCTTTATAACTGTAGCCTTGTTCACTTAATAATATGATTTTACATCACTTTCTGGGTAACCAGTCAACTCTTTGCACCACTACTTTAATTTTATTATGTTTTACAAGTTCACCAAATGAAAGAACACAAAAAACCTAACCAACTTGATAGCGATCACATAACACACTGACAAATGTCCTCCTCTCAGTTTCAATACATGACATCAATAACTGAATCCTACTGTGATCTGATTGGCTCATTGCCAAAACAAGATGACACTTGATCGACTCTCTAAATACTCATGCTCATTGGCTACAATCAGATGAAGGAAAGCTACCTAATATCAATCTAAGCAAAATTGTGCTTCCTTTTTCTGGTTATTTGGCTATAACATTTCATAGAGTACAGTACAGATAATTGAACAAACCTTGTTGCATTACATTCTTGATTAAATTATCTTTCCATTGATATATAATTTTATGGTGCTATCAAAAAAAAAGGTGGTGTTATTAGTCATCAAACCTCAAAAATACACTTTTCCCAAAAGATTTCCACAATTTTGGCCACTACTATATGATGCTCTTTTGTTTTAGGCACAGTTCCCAAACTGTCTGTTCTAGAGGAAGTTGAATATTTCATTGTGTTTAAGCTGCTATGATTACATGTTGATTTATTTCTTTCAACTGAGGTGTTCATTTTTATTTATTTATTTATTTTGACTGGGCCAGCACAGATGAAGTGACTGGTCATACCTCTATTGCTAATGAGTTAGGCTAGGTGAGGAGTTATGTGTGTAGAATTTGGAATGAAGCAGCAGGCTCTAAAGAAGCCTAGGGCCCAGTGAGAGAAACATTATGGTTCTGACTGACGCTGAAGATTAACTAGAGTGTAAACTATAGAGGAAAACATTGCATCAAGGGATAACTGAAATCAGTCCTGGAGCAGTTCTGACTGATGGCAAATATCTCTTATTTATATATAGTTTTCTCTGATGAAAAATCAAAGGTTCCTGTCACAATTTCTTGGTAGCATTAGCTGTATTCCTTGCACATAGCATCAGGTCTGGTAAAGCCACAACTGGACTAAAGTTGACACCAGTAAATTCCACACAATTGCTGGCTATTTCCAGACAGGTAGATACTAGACCAAGCAAGATCAAATTCCAAGATCAAATTCAAGATCTATTTATTTGGTGAAACTGCATCTATCTATCTATCTATCTATCTATCTATCTATCTATCTATCTATCTATCTAGCTACACATACATGGAGAGAGAGAGAGAGAGAGAGAGAGAGAGAGAGAGAGAGAGAGAGAGAGAGAGAGAGATACCAAACCATATTCTGCCTTTGTTTTTTTTTTTCTTAAACTAATTCTGAAAAGCAAATTATTAGGTTGGATTTTGGTGGTATGTTTGTGTGTGCGTGCATGCGCATGCACCTGTGCACATACACTGATGTTTGAAGATTCTCTTGAGGAAACTACATCTAATGTGGGTCAATTAATATTCATGATCTTCAAGAAAAGCAACTGTCTGACATAAAATTAATAATGTATGTGCATACACATGCACTGATTTCACACACAAGTGATGTTAATATAAAAATAGTACCACATATTAGGTTTTGGTCTGCTGCTTAGATCTGTGCATGTATGTG